TGTAGTTCCATATCGCCTCCACCAGCTCCAAATGCGATGTCTCCACACCCTGTAAGAGCAGATATTGTTCTTATTTTCAACCACAGTTGAAAACAGATTGACAAACGTTTTTAGAAACTGAAACAACAACAATCTCATATATATCATAGACTCACTATAAGGTTGGGACAGGCCTGTAGAGCCTCCAAAACACCAGGAATGCTAAAGGCCTCATAACCCCTGACCCTCCTTCTCTCTAGGTAACGTGGATGAAGGCCATACAGCTGTTCCAAATCAGGCATCTTCTTCGTTAGCATGAGGAAACTGGAGTCTGTGAAACCTGAGTTACAACATAAATTCAAACAACTGAATTAACAAAAAATGGACAGAATCACAGTGTCACAAGTGTTTTAAGTGTTGTAAGGCTTTAGGACTGGTATTCTCGGCTTCACTGATTTGGAATACTGTTCAAAACAAATCTATCTTTCAAGAAAGGTTCACATTGGAGTAGACCAATATATATTCCAGGCCTATTAATCAGCTAACCAGAGATCACTGGCACTGGCCAATATCTATCAACAGCTCTGGTAAGAGGTAATAAACACATTCTGTTTTCAATAATTTTAGTGTTTGCAAGTAAAATTGGGTAAAACAACTTTAGCTACAACTGTAACTATATATATATATATATATATATATATATATATATGAATATTGTGAAAAGTTCTTTTTTTTTGTAACTTATTCCAAAAAGTGAAACTTTCATGTATTCTAGATTCATTACATGTAAAGTAAAACATTTCAAAAGTTTTTTTTTGTTTTCATTTTGATGGTTAGAGCTTACAGCTCATGAAAGTCAAAAATCCACTAGTATCTCAAAATATTAGAATATTTCCTAAGATCAAAAAAAAAAAAAAAAAAGGATTTGCAAAAAAGTTCATTTATGCACTCAATACTTGGTCGGGGCTCCTTTAGCACAAATTCCAGCATCAGTGAGATTTGGCATGGAAGTGATCAGCCTGTGGCACTATTGAAGCCCAGGCTTCTTTAATAGCGGCCTTCAGCTCATCTGTATGGTTGAATCGACGGTTTCACATCTTTCTCTTGAAAATATCCCATAAATTCCATATGGGGTTCAGGTCAGGCATGTTGGCTGGCCAATCAAGCACAGTAATATCATGGTCAGCAAACCATGATATTATGGTCAGTTTTGGCACTGTGGGCAGGTGCTTAGTCCTGCTGGAAAAGGAAATCAGCATCTCCATAAAGCTTGTCAGCAGATGGAAGCATAAAGTGCTCCAAAATCTCCTAGACAGCTGCATCCACTGACTTTGGAAACTTCACATTGGACTTCAAGAAGCTTGGATTCTGTACCTCTCCAGTCTTCCTCCAGGATCCAGACCTTGATTTCCAAATGAAATGCAAAATTTACTTTTATCTCAAGTGTTTGAATCAGCTTTGCTTGACAGTATTCTCAAGCTTGGGGTCATCCCTGTTGCTAGTGCACATTTTCCAACCCTTTTTCTTCCTTCCAGTCAACTTTGCATTTAATATGCTTTGATACAGCACTCTGTGAACAATCACCCCTTTCAGTAATGACCTTCTGTGACTTACCCTCTTTGTGGAGGGTGTCAATGATTGTCTTCTGGACCATTGCCAAGTTAGCAGTCTTCCCCATTATTGTGGTTTCAAAGAACAAGAGATACCCGGAATTTATACTGTAGGGATGGTCATTTAATGAAACTCAAATGTAAATATTCTAATATTTTGAGCTACTGGATTTTTGACTTTCATGAGCTGTAAGCTCTAATCATCAAAATAAAAAAATAAAAAAAACTTTTGAAATGTTTTACGTTACATGTAATGAATCTAGAATATATGAAAGTTTCACTTTTTGAAATAAGTTACAAAAAATAACTTTCACAATATTCTAATTTTTTTAGATGCACCTGTATATATAGTTACAGTTGTTATATATATACAGGATATATATATATATATTAGGGCTGCACGATAAATCGCATGCGATATTTAACGCGCATCTTATCAGTAAAGCCGGTTCTGTAAACCACGTTCATATTCGCGTGATTTTTTGCGCAGCTCGTCAGTGAACAACGGCTCTGTGTAGTTAATGCTGCTCAATGTGAAAGCCCGCAGGTGATGGAGATTTACCGCTGATTACAGAACCGGCTTTCTGACAAGATGCGCATTAAATATCGCATGCGATTTATTGTGCAGCCCTAATATATATACTTACAATTAAAAATCTTGGGGTCAGTTTTTTAAGTGAATAATTTTATTGAACAATGATGCATTGAATTAATCAAAAGTGACAGTAAAGACATAAATGCTGTTTTTTTTTTACTCTCTATTCTTCAAATTCTCCTAAAAAAAATCCTGAAAAAAATTTATCACAATTTCCACAAAATATTGCTGTTATAATAAATAATAACTATTCCCAACACTGATGATAATAAGAAACATTTCTTGATCAGCATATTTGAATGATTTCTAGTCTTTTGACACTAAAGACTATTATAATGGAGCTGAAAATACAGCTTAGCCATCACAGAAATAAATCGGCCACTGGACACCATGCATTCTATACATCAGCATAAACCATTATCAACCACTAGATTTAAGTATGGTAAGAAGTATTAAATGTAGCTGAGAGTACTCGGTAATAAATCATAAACAGCTGAGAGTAGTACAGTGTAGGCCTAATCAAAACTTTCAATACACAAATATGCAGGGTAGAGGGATGTGAAAACTTTACTATGTCAAATTAATGAGTATGTTACTTAATCTGATTATAAACTCAAAGCCCTTAGGCAGACAATTCATAACTATTGACTACACATTTATACCAGGTTTAATTATAAACATACTGAAATTTGAGCATTAAGAGTGTCGTCTACCTGAGGGCATGTACTCCCACCACCGGCTGGCACAAAGGTCCACAACCTTCACCACCCGCAAGTACAGAGTCACCGCCTCCCGCAGTTTCCGTGACAGACACTCCATACACATTATGTCCTGCATGGGTAAGTATCTGTGGGGAGATGGACTTATGCATCATAATTCAAGTCAACTATAAACCATTGCAATTTGAGTTAACTTATGACAGCTCTGCCAAAAATCTCTGGAATTGAGAATAGAATCGCAGGGAATACATTTGCTAACTACTGTATTAACTAGTGGTGGGATGTTGTACTGACCGGAATATGTGGCAGAGCACCTCATGTGAGAGCTCGTTGATATAGTCTTTAGGTTCCTCATGTCCAAGAGAGCTTAATGTTCCTCCCCCCAAAATATGAGTCCTGGTGACCTTGCGCCGTGGGCCCATCATGTCCAGGGCAGTGAGATATCCACCAAGGGAAGGTAATAACCTCACTCCCTCAGTCCTGATCCTCTTGTTTGGGGCATCAACACACAATCATCACTCACTGCTTTGTAAAGAATAAATAACGTTACGTCAATTAAATGTCTGAGACAAAAAAAAGGGGGGGGGGGGTCACTTTCACATTACATGTAAATATTTCACGACCACTTTCACAGCTGCCAAAACTAAACAACAGCTCAATGAGGTAAAACTAAAAAAAGCTCCCTAAACACAAGACAATGGACATTAATCTACACCAAACTGGCTGTAGCACTCACAGCAGGCTAAGCTAGTAGGATCTATATCATGATTTCAACACTGGTAGTTAAGAGGCATCATGGCTCAAATGAAGAAGAGCTGAGCCGTTCAGTAATCAGCAGAATGTGAGATGATGATGATGCTGCTGCTGTTTCAAGTTATGATCACCAGCTCTAGCTAGCAATCAGCTGTTAGCAACCTCACCACTGTTGTATAAAGATATAGATCTAACAGTGCTGTAACAAGACCTTTATGAAGTAGCGTTTAGCTGAAATTGGTCCATTTATATTATCTGGTTTTCAGTCGAGCTCATAAGTGCGATTTGTGGTTAGTTTGAAGGTGAGCAGCGGCAGCTGTCTGTCTGAATCCGCGTTCAGCAGCGACGTGAAGCCAGCGTTGGCCTTCCAAACACAAACAGGAAGTTCAGATGTATTTTTGTTTACAAAATAAAAGACGCGGATAACCGGCAAATGGACTGGATTTAACGTATTGCTCACGAAAGGGAGCATGTTCTAAATTACAGAAAAAATATCTTAAAATTAACCACAGGAGGTTTTCTCTTTTTTTGTATATTTAGTAATTTCATTTTTGTTTCTTTATTGTAAAGAAGCAGGAAGCACTAAGTTTCTAAACGGGTGTCTACAGACATGCTGCTACCCTAGTCCAGTGACAATATGTGTAATCGTTGTATGTGCACACTGTGCAGTCAGTTTAAAAAACAGCCAGCTTTGAGATGAAAGACAGTCAGGGAGATAAGGGTAACTTTTCATTTCTTTTATTTTAGTTTCTTTTCTTTTCCTTTCGGACAGTAAGCAAAAATGTTTACTTTGCTTAAAGAATACACTGTTACACTCAAAGAAAACATTTTACTTTATTTAATTTCAGTCATAAAATGAACAAATTGTCTGTTCTAAGGGGAAAAATTCAAACCAATTTTATTAATGCATATGCTTCTCATAATATAAAATTAGTTAATAGTTGTGTTTTACTAGAATGAATTAAACATAAAAAATGGTCAAAAATATGTTTTTTTTAATATAGATTAAGATTACTGCACAATGTATAACCTATTGCACATTAATATCTAATAATTATCTGACTTGAGTATTTATTGACATAGCCTAATTAATCAACAGTAAAGTTAACAGTAAATTAATTTGAAGCTATGTGAGACTATAGTCTTACAATTAAAGGTGCTTCACGATGCCATAGAAGAACCTTTTTTTGTCTAAATGGTTCCATAAAGTACCTTTAACATCTGAAGAACCTTTCTGTTTCACAAAAGGTTCTTTGTGGCTAAAGAAGGTTCTTCAGATTATAAAAAGGTAAGAAATAGATGGTTCTTTAAAGAACCTTTGACTGAATGGTTCTTTGTGGAACCAAAAATGGTTCTTCTATGGCATCGCTGTGAAGAACCTTTTAAGCACCTTTATTTTTAAGAGTGTCTGTTCAGCTTGATATCTATACGATGACACCTTCTTCGAAATGTGTTGGCCTGTCGCCTGCACACCCCACAACAATCCTTCGAGTGGACCTGTGTCCTCTGTATTCACATCTGGGGTGTCTCTCCCCACTGATTAATGTACATGTAACTACAGGGAATGGCTTGTTGCTGATATACAAGTCTCTGTTTTCAGGACGTCGAGTACCTCCTCCGGTACAAACTGCTTTAACTTGCTTGTTATTCGCTAGTATGAAGGTGTTGACTTCTTTGCAGCTGTTGTCATCTTGGGACCCCGTGATGCGTCTTGTACGGATCTCACTGTCACATCTCTGTACATTCATGGCTCCAAACACATGCTGCCTAATGAATTTCTTATAACGCTGTTCTACTACTTCTTCGTCTGTTTGACCACAAATGAACAATGAGGCACACAGGACCAGTAGCAGAATCATTATAGAGTGATGAATCCCCATGACCTGGCGAGCAACATATAAAAAAGTGTTTTTTTGTGTTTTTTTTTGTGAGATTAATGAAGAAAATAATGAAGGAAAATAAGTGTTGTGACAACATACCTTGCTCTTCTTGACAAAGTAATATGTTGTTCCACCAGCTGTCTTCTTTTGTCTATAAGCTGTAAGAGAATCAAAAGCAGGTAACTAACAAATCATGAAAAAACTAGCACATGAAACAGGCTCCAAAAACTCTGCTGTAATATTACTAACCAGCTGCAGTATAGACTTTGCTGCTGTTAGTAATGCTGCTGGTTTTATCATAAACCCCACAAGACCTAAACATATGATCTGATTATCAGGAAATGTTTAACAAATACTCAAAACTAGAAAAATCAATAAAAAAGTCACTTTGATTTTTACAGTAGGCTTGGGCATATTCTTCTTGGTCAAACACAATGCAAGCTTTACAGAAGGACAATACACACTATAATAATATAGTATTTATATGTACAGTATTTATTGATCTAAATTAATGTTAATTCATAATTAACCCATTCACTCAGTGTTTTGAACATTATTCATAGGCCAACTCCTTAAGTATTAGCAACTAAAAAGGAAGAAATACCAGTGTATGAACAGAGGATTCTTGATTAAAAGTAGCTAATATGAACTGAAAGTCACATGTTTTGGGGCATCTGAAATCTGTTTTCCAAGGCTTATTTTAGTATGTGGTGTTTGGGGGTGCAGAGTCCAGACATCATGGTTTAAATATTTGCAATGCCAGGTAGTCTGTCTATTTGGCAGAGCTTCAAAGTAAACAAGCAACTGTAAGGATTTGAATTTGAAAGGATCAAAATTTCATATTTGTCTATATGCATAGAAACAAAAATCTCAAAGAGAGGAGAGACAACACTTTTCAGATCCTTTTCAGATCCAGTCTGCTTATTTTCAGTTACTCCTCGGCACCACATTGCATCATTGGGTAATTTGTCAACGTTGTCAACGTTTTTCATAAATTCTTGATTTAAAGGGATATTTGTCCATTTTTCCATGTGTTTATAAAAAATGAATCCACAGGCTTTTAATTTAGCAGTGTGGACTAGGATAAACCACAATGTACAGCAATAGAAATGACATTTGGGAGCAGTTTGCTTTGACATTATAGTGCAATGGTACTTCAAGCAACCCGAGTTTGAGTCCCTTCCATCTTCCCCTCACTGTCCTTTTAAATAAAGGCAAAAAGTCCAAAAAAATTTTAATGAAAAGTATTGTGCAATGTGCATTGCCCATTCTTCTCTTCTGTACCTTTGCATTGATGCAGTGGAATGGAGCCCAAACATGCCCTATTCTTTTTGATAGTTTACTTATTTGTGTTAATAATAAACCACAAAAAAAAGTGGTTGACGGGATAAACCACCTGAGTAACACAAGAAGCAACCCATCAGACATTTAGAAATAATTACCATTTGAATGTACATTAACTAGCACAGAAAAGGAGAAGACATCAGTAAGATGCTTGAGATGACCACCAGAAACTAGCTTGTACATAAGCACAATCATAGTTAGGATATGTATATATACAGATACCATGAAGATGAAGAGTCTAATATCAATATCTGATACATGCAAATTTCTCGAACACGTGGGATATCAATCAGGGAAATCTTACTAGATTATGATTTGATTAAATGGCATGTTTGTAGTACCAGTCACATTTACTCTGGGGTGAAAAAATAATTACATTGTGCACATAAATGATTGAGTTAAAGCAGCTGACTGACACGTCCACTAATCTGCCGATCAAATCATTTCAATCCTTTCGACAATTACGATCCCCTAAAATCTGGAGTATGATGAAAACTGAGTGAAATCTGGTGTAAAACCATAGAGAGCTGTAACTGGGAATTTTTCATAAATTGGCTCAGGGCTTTGAGCAACTTATCTCAGACATGAAGTGCATAGCTGGGACTGAAAACTGCCTGCTACAAATGTGGAGAGACAGAAAACTGAACACAGCCTGAAGAGAGGTCACCTCATAACATAACACTGGAAATTATATAGGAAAATGAGAAAAACACTTTTAAAGATTAATGCTATCAAAGATTGAACAGGATTTTGCCAGATTTTCATCTATCATCCTCAGGCAAACTCTTTGTTGTTCTTTTCACCCACATGCACGCACGCACACACGCACGCACGCACTCACACACACACACAGTATATGGAATGAGTACAGGAAAAATTTACTTTTTTTGAATTTGATTTTTTTTTATATTATACATTTAGTAGACTTTCTCAGAAATCCATGTATCTCATGTGCCATTCTTAAATGTAGATTTGTCAAAGAAAAGTATAAATACATCCACACATTTTATGGAAGCAGCGGAATTTTGTTCAGTAATGACAATTCTAGTTTAGTTTCTGAATGCAAATAATTATTATAATAATAAATAGCCAGGAACTTATAACATTTTCTTAACTTATTTTTTTTTTAAAGTACTGCCTATCATAACCTACTTGCCTCCACAGGTCAGACAATCTTTTTTTTTTAAAATGTTTTAGAGAGTGAAAGTAAAGTAAATGAGATGCTCCTGTCTGGGACCAAATCAAGTCTCGCACCAAATTTATTTACAGATTGAGAAATGTGATTGGAACACTGCTCAAATAATCATCTTGAGAAATAGGATCACATTTCTTGTGCCTGTGTGAAGACTTCAATCCACAGCTCAAGTCAGCGATAATTGATTACGCCATTACTGCATCTGCCAATGAACATCATGTAAACGTAGCATCAATCTGCATGCTCAGACAAGACCCTTTTCCCCATCTCACAAGACATCCAGTCAGCCTGTTGAAATGTAACCTCTCACTTCATTTGACCAACTGCTTAAAACCAATTATAAATGAAAGCCAGAGATGTCTGGGTCTGGATGCTGAGACAAGTTCCATTTGATGAGAACGAGAGGAGATGATGAGGAGTGGCAGCTGTGGGATTTTGGCCTGGTGACACAGTAAGGCGGACGGGTTGAGACACATTATTCAGAATCCTTTGAGACAAACAAAATGAAGCACAAGATGAGATTCAATCTCTCTGCTTTCCACTCTCTGACGGTGGCTTGTCCTTTAATATGAATGACATCAAGAAGAGAATCACACAAACTTGAGATTACTGGTGTCTTAAAAATGACTGTGCCATTGTTATTGCATACTGAAGAAATAGCATAGAATAAAGCAAACCAATCAATATAAAAATAAAATAATATTACAGTTAAGGGTCAGTCCTGTTGTCCTGAGAATACACCAGCTTAAACCAGTTTATGACCAACTAAGAACCAGCTTAAACAAGCTCAAACCATGCTTCAAAACATACCTAACCAGCATATCCTGGTTCCCTTTCAGTCGGTTACTACGAGTCACGTCGTGACATCTCCGTTCCCTCCTTCAGGGAACGAGGGTTACATACGTAACCGAGACGTTTTCTCAACAGGACAAAGCTTTTGAATATTTTAGATGTCACGGTCCCCAAATATCATCCTCATGCAAGCGACCCCCATTCCAAGACATAAAAAGCGTATATTTTCATATATGGGGACCCAATTTATACTGTGAAAAATTAATGTTATAAGTAAATAAATATTATTTGGAAAATATTTAGTTTATGTTACATATTTTTTTTATACTCACTGCACTTTAGATGTATATTTATCTTTTGTTTATTTCGATCTTAATCTTATTATTATTATTTTTTTTAATGTTTTCTTATTTATTTTTATTCTATCTAGTGGTGGGGATATTTCAGTGAAACTTTCTGCAAGTTACATTGCCACGCCAGTAGCTTGTGATTGAATCATTCATTAAGCCGATTCGATTAAAACTACTTGATTCAGAAACAAAGTGACTGGCAAAATTCAGAAAACATATTACCATACAACTCTTAATTCTTCTGACATATCTTTACATGGCAGAAAAATTAATACTACACTCTTAAAAATAAAGGTGCTTCACGATGCCATAGAAGAACCTTTTGGTCTAAATGGTTCCATAAAGAACCTTTAACATCTGAAGAACCTTTTGGTTTCACAAGGTTTCAAAGTTTCTTTGTGGCGAAAGAAGGTTCTTCAGATTATAAAAAGGTAAGAAAGAGATGGTTCTTTAAAGAACCTTTGACTGAATGGTTCTTTCTGGAACCAAAAATGGTTCTTCTATGGCATCGCTTGAAGAACCTTTTGAAGCACCTTTATTTTTAAGAGTGTATGATAGTAGACTATGCTATTCCACATTAAGCCACTGCCTTCGCCAGAATCATTACCTAAAATTGTTCGTTCAAAAACACAGATTCATTCAGCATGAAACACCACTAATTTGTGTTAGACAGAGATGTGTGTTAATTCTTCTGTGCCTTTGTTTGGAATTTATTTGTTGGAAGGACAAAAACAGACAAAGTAACTGTGAATATTGTCTTTAAAATGTAAGTTACTCTATATAAACTGATTGTGTATTGAACAATATGATACTCGCGAATGTTCTACATGGATGATATGAACATATATGGGTGTACTATATTTAAGGCTATAGTCAGCCTACCCACTTTATTAAGGACAGCTTGATAATGTCACAAAACACTGACATTTTTGAACAACTACAGAGCAGTAACATGCTTCCGGTCTTCTTAGTGAGTTTGGTGTAGAAGTAGCAGCCATTGTTGGTTTAGTCAATGATCTTAGTTCTATTTTCCTGCCTTTTAGAGTGTACAGCTTGGTTTTTGCCAGCAGGTGACTTTGAGAGGAAAATAAAATCTTTCTCAGCTGAGCAGATCACTTGCTGCAACCTGGTTTTGGGGCAGGTGGAGACAACCATGATGGAGGAAGTGAGGATGCATTCCATGCTCTGTAGGACTGGACAACTTTTTGCTGGTTTCTCAAGGTACCTCAGATGTAAATAAAAAGATGTGAAGTCAAAAATATCAATGATGATCAAGAAATCATATGCAATGCATTGACATGTTTACATTTTGTCTTTTTGACCAAGAATTGCTCATCAATGCACAGGCCCTGTCCCAGAGCTTTGCCTTTATTTGTTTTTATTTGAGCTCCCTTTAAACTCTAATTCTGTAGTCTTTGCAGCTTGTATTGTCCCACCAACAAAGGGGCATAAGCTTGGTCCCTGTGGAGGGACAAAGAAAAAATGGATACAGAAAAAGAGAGAAGATATATGCAGCTATTGTATGAGTATTTGTTTGCTTGGCCACACTATTCCCACAAGACCAAAGCCCTTGAGTGTGTTCTGTATTGTACACATCAATAAATAATGCATTGCAATGTTTGCACAAGCTCTG